ACAAGCGGACATGTTATTTTGAGCTCTCGATATTTTTTACAGAAAAACGGATTTAAAGTTGATATAGAAGTCTGTATGAACTTTTTTATGTTCACACAAGTTTGAATAAGGAATACATATTGTGCTATGTTTTAAAACTATGACAAGAAAGAGGAATAAAGGGAGTAGTGGAAGCGAATCCGATGAGATATTGAACCCCAAAAAAAGCAACAAAGAAAAGAGGCCCTTCAGAGGGTACAGCTGACAATTTGAATGTAAGTGAAATATTGAATGAGACACATGCTATTCTATTTGACTCTGAACATTGTGAAGTGGAGAGAAATAATATAAAGTGCAAAGCTAGTGCTAACAACAAGGAGATGCAAAGTATGGCTTCTTTTAGCGATATAGTAAGAAAGAGCCCAACTTCTACAATGTCTTCGAAACAAGAGTATACTAAGGAATTATTTAAAACAGGTACGAGTGAAAGTACTAAATTGGACTTGTTACTAGAGACAGTTATGGATATTAAGAAAAGTCAGGATAGCATGAAACGTATGTTCGAATCGAAATTAGAAAAATTCCGATCTGACCTGATGGAGAGCATCGATACGAAAATACGGGCCTTACGTGACGAGTTGTCAATGGATATCAACCGAGAGAGTTATCGTTTAGAACAAGTCGCGAAAACTGTTCAAGCTATGCAGTCTCGGATTACTACAATAGAGCAGACGACAAGTTCACGCCAGACAGATGAAAATAAGTCACGTGATAGCACGGATCAACACAAACATGGACAGTTTAATCCAAGCGATGACCCAGATTTAACAGTAACGGCAAGTGGTATAAAATACACTGAGGGGGAAGATTTAATGGCGGTAGCACATGACTTGATAAGTGCTTTAGGCGATGATGTTTCTTTGAATGTTCTTATTACTAGTGTATCGCGGCTTCCGACACGGTACGTTAACCGCCCACCGTTAGTCAAAATAAGCTTTCAAAATGTCGACGAAAAAATACTTGTGCTGAGGCATAAAATGGCACTTAAAGATATAGACAGATATAAAGAAGTTTACATTAAGAGTTACAAGTCGCGTATTGAAAGACTGATTGAAATGAATGCACGAGCTATTTTAAAGGAATTACCACAAGGCAACACGTTAAGGGTAAATGCAAATGGACGTATCATGCACAGAGTACAACAAGATGATAAACAGAAATAGGAAGGACCCTGTCTAAATGTCATAGTTAAATTGGCACACATAAATGTATGTGGTTGGACAAATGATAATAGTGAGCTTAGGTCGGGTATAATTGAATCCGTTAATGCTGACATTGTGTCAATTTGCGAAACGCACTTAAAGGGGAACGATGGAATAAATGTATTGAATTATACATGGTTTGGACATAATAGAACGGAATTACACAGGAACGCTCCTAAAGCTTCTGGGGGAGTAGATTTACTAGTGAAAAACTCTATTTGTGAAGAGTACGAATTAAATGTTATAGATAAATCGTATGACGGAATTTTAGTTGTTAAATTTGTTCACAAATCGTGTGATTATGAATTTGTCGTATGCGCATGTTATCTGCCGCCAGAGAATTCGACCAGAGGAAGAGATTCCGAGGGATTTTGTTCGTATTTGTTAGCACAGGTATATTTAAATAGTGACAGTGACGCATTATTCTTAGTTGGTGATTATAATTCACGGATAGGTTCACTTCCGGATAGTATCAGTGGAGTAGACTCTTTACCAAACAGACAAGTTCTAGACTTTACAGTAAATCAACATGGTCATGAATTTTTAGAATTCTTATGTAACGCAAAATTTTGTGTTCTTAATGGTAGATTCGACGCTGCAGACGACAATTTCACATCCATATCACGAAAAGGAAAATCTGTTGTTGATTACATATGTGTACCACACGACGTTTTGAAGATATGCTCGAATTTTAGTGTGCAAACTGTTCAGTCTATTGTTGACAAATATGGATTACACGGATTAATAGGTGAAAGGTCGCGGTTACCAGATCATTGTATGATATTAACGGAGTTTAGCGTGACAAATACCGTTACAATGAAAGACTGTGATAACGTTAGTAGCAAGAATATTATTAATCCGACACGTTTCAACTTAAATAGGATACCTTCAGACTTTATGGGGAGCGAACTTTCTAGGACAGCATTGATAAATATAATTACTAGAATTGATCTTTGCCGAGAAACACAGTGTGATATTGACACAATTTACGACACATTTTGTGAGACACTTATAACCGAAATGAATAATACAGTGCCAAAATACAGTTCATCAAAGCACACAAGCAAACGATTTAAGAACAAAAAACCGTTCTGGGATGAAAATTTGTCACAGCTTTGGAACAATATGAATGTTAAAGAACGGGCATACTTGAAATGTAAAGACATAAAATCCGTTCGTAACGCTTTACGTATGGAATATATTGATGCAAGAAACATGTTTGATAAAACACTAAGACGAGCAGAAAGACAGTATCGTGAATCAATCGCCCTAGAAATAGAAGGTTTATCTTCAAATAATCCTAACGACTTTTGGGATAAAATCCGGAGATTAGGACCTAGGCAGAATAAAAATATACCTGTTGAGATAGTTGAAAATGGAGATATCATTACCGACGAAAATCGAGTCTTTGAAAAATGGAAATGTGACTTTGAAAACTTATACAATGGTGAAAATGTCAGTGATTTTGACGAAGAGTTTTTCAGTCAGAAAAAGATTCATAAACAATTAATCGAGTTAGACATGTTGGACCCTTTATACACGCCCAATACACAACTGAATGGAAATATTACAATTCAAGAACTTTCTAGCATAGTCATGCAAGCGAAATCAAGATCTGCATCCGGTTATGATATGATCCCGTACGCTGTAATTAAATTTCCTAGCATAATAGCGGTCTTGCAGCAATTATTTCAACTAATTATGGATACTGGAATTATACCTTCACCCTGGAGAAAATCAATAATCTGTCCCATTTTGAAAGACTCAAATACTGACGCACGATTACCTATGAATTATAGAGGGGTCAGTCTACTATCATGCATTAGCAAGTTATATAGTGCATTCATTAACAAAAGAATTACGGTTTGTTTGAACGAACACGATATTTTAGCCGACGAACAGAATGGATTTAGAGCAGATCGCTCATGTGAGGATCACATCTTTACATTAGATAGCATTATAAGGAATAATACGTCCGTAATGACAGCGTTTATTGACCTCAAGAAATGCTTTGATTTCATCGATAGAGACATGATGCTATATAAACTACTCTTGAATAAAATAAAATCGGGTAGTGTTTTATCAAGTTTGCTCATATTAATTTGTTTGGCCCCTTTTAGGGGCCGCAAAAGCTAAAAAAAAGAAATACCTTTTAATGTCTATTTCTAGAGAACTATTTGATGGATGATCACCAAACTTTGTCTGTAGCATTCTTGGGTAGTCTTTTATCAAGTTTGCTAATATTATTTTGATTGGCCCCGCAAAGGCTAAAAATAGAAATACCTTTAAATGTCTATTTCTACAGAACTAATTGAGGGAAGATCACCAAACTTTAACTGTAGCATTCTTGGGTAGTCTTTTATCAAGTTTGCTCATATTAATTTGATTGGCCCTTTTTAGGGGCCTCTAAAGCTAAAAATAAAAAAAAAACCCTTTAAACATCTTCTACTTCAGAACCAATTGATGGATGATCACCAAACTTTGTCTGTAGCATTCTTGGGTACTCTTTTATCAAGTTTGCTTATATTAATTTGATTAGCCCCGTTTAGGGGCCACTAAAGCTAAAAATAGAAAAAAACCTTCGAACATCATTTCCTACTGAAATAATTGATAGATGATCACCAAACTTTGAGGCATTCTTAGATAGTCTTTTATCAAGTTTGCTTATATTAATTTGTTTAGCCCCGTTTAAGCTAAAGCTTAAATGCCCCAGGTCATGGCATTTCTTCAACTTATTGTTTAAACATATTCCATGCTCAAATTTAATATTAGAATATTTTGACATTTCAACACTGAAAAGCAGTTGTTTCTGGTGAGCGACTCAAGGCCATCATGACCCTTTTTTCAGTATAAGTATTCGACGTAATAAAGGCCATTTCCCTTTGTGTCTAATATTGCTGTAAAGAAATCTTCCAAGGTACCACAACGAAATAACACAAATGGTGTTTTAATGTTTGGCACCAGAAAAATGGTGATTGTTTTGAAAATGTGTACCCTTTATATCAGGCGGAACAAATTCCTAAATTAAAATACGACCATGCTTCACGGGCCTCTTTTGGGGGAGGGAAGCTTTGTTCATTATGTTCATTATATTGTTGTAAAAGAAATGAAACGACTTTGAACTAATGCATTTGTCATTTTTGTTTGTTTGTTTCAGTTTACGCCTTTTTCCAACAGTATTTCAGTCATATAGGCGGGTAGTTTCCTAACCATCGTTCCTGGAGAGTTACACCAGTACTAGACTACCTTCCTCCGCGCTAAACTACCAAAGCATCTCCCGGGGATCGAACCGACGCCAGAGAGGTAACTGGATTAGAAGTCATCGACTCTAACACCTCGACCACGGAGGCGGTTAGACCGCGTCGGAATCACACAAATAGTGTGTTTTTCAAAAATTCATAATCATTATATACAGAAAGAACCGGCTAATCGGCAACGGAATAACATAAATTGTGTTTTATGGTTTGCACTAGAAAGTGGCGGGTTTTTTTTTGTACAAAATTAAAAATTTTTTGTACACTTCATATACAGAAAGAACAAATTGCAGATAAAAAACAGCAACAAAAAAGAAGGAAAAAAACATGCCGAACGAGCTACTCGACGCCATTTACCTTGAGTGAGAAGTTTGTGGCTGATATAAATGTAAAAGAGAACCTCCAAACTAATGCAGCGGAATAACACAAATGGTGTTTCAACGGTTTACACCAGGAAGTGATGTTTTTACCAACAAAAAATTTGCTCACTATACAGAAAGGAGGAAGAACATCCGAACTTATGTAATTACTAATCCGCAACAGAGTCACAAATAGTGTTTATATATATAATTAAACGGTTGAATCCAATTTATGGAAATTCATACACTTTATAATTATTAGTTGGAACAAATCACATATCTAAAAAAAATGTCCATAACACGTGGGCTTTTCGAGGCGATTTTCCTTAGGTTTAAAGCTTTGTGCTTTATACTGATGTAAAGACAATCAAAAACCTCACCATGACTCCTGACTTCATATTTTTTCTGCAATAATTTTCCTCTTATGATATTGCGAAGCATATATATTTTCATATACAAATTGTGCCCAGTTTGTTTCCTTGTGTTTAATATGAATGATTCTTTGCATTATACTGTATTCTTACTTATTTTAGCATGACATTTTTATAACAGTCTTTAATTGAATTTGATTTCAACGATTGAACAACCGTGTCAGGTATAAACAATTATAGAAAAATTACCAATATGTGATATACTAGTAAATATACATATATGTGAAAAGTATAACTCAACTGTTAAAAAATAAATGATTTTTGTAACTGTCCGCGGTGCAGTTTCTTTCATGTTTGGAAAATACAAAAAAGCTCTAGTCAGATATGTCTTGTAGTTGTCTTGTAGTATAATCAATCCATGAAAAGGTATTTATTTCAGTCTGAAGCTGCACACCAGATAGCTTTAACATATTCCTTCAACGTGTAATGTTACAACGTGTATTGAATGAAACTAATCCACACACGTATATTGGTTTTACAATATTTGTTTGTTTGTTTATTTATTTAATTGGGTTTTACGTCACACCGACACAGTATACATCATATGGCGACGTTCCAGCTTTACAAGTGGAGGAAGACCTCAGATGCCCTTCCATGCATTATTTCAGACACTAATGGGCACCCGAGTAGAAGCACCGACGTTCCGTAAGCTAGCTGGATAGCTTCCTCACATGAAAGAAACCATGTCGGGACTTGAACCCAAAGCGGTTAGGGGCAAGTGGTTTGAAGTCAACGACCTGAACCACTCGACTACGGGCGTCCTATTACCATATTTAACAATGTTATAGAAAAGTTATGTGTTTAATTAAAGCAGTTAAAATTCACAATGTTCAGTTTTCTATGTTTCTTCTTATTCTACTTCACGTTATACTTTCTTATAGACGTTTTAACATGTTCTGGTAGAAGTTTCAATTCTCTTTCAACCGCTTGAAGTTCAACATTTGTTTTCGCGTTAAGTGTGGAAATGTGTCTTTCAAGCAAATGTGGCTCGTTATTAAAGTAACGGACACATAACCGTATTGCTCTTAAAATTTCAGAACAGCTTTCGACTGAAATCTCCACCTTTTGTTTTATTAAAGCACTGTACCTAACGGTTTCCCCAGTAGTCTTATATACCCATTTATTCGAGGTTTTAAATAAATACATATCATCTTCCCTATCCAATTCATTGGCTTGTAGAAGTTTCTCTCTCTTTTGCAAGGCCATATATCTTATTTGTAGAACTGATTTATCCGAGATGCAAAACTGAGACGCACCATTTTCCATTTTTGCAAGACTCAAGTCGGACGCTAAGACGATACACTGATCTTTCAGTTCATCTAAATTGTATAGTTCAGCTAAATGTAGATGCCTGTACATCTCTGTGTTATTCAATTTGTGTTTTCCGTTCACTAATTGTATAAGAAGCTTATGAATTCTTTGTTCAAGAATTCTCACCTGATATTCCGAAACGAGCGGCAGAACTTTGTATACATTTGTCTCTGAAGAAAAAGAAAAAAAAATGTATTTTACTTTATGTAAGTATTTCGCATTTTAACATGTTTGAAAACATGAATCTTCAATACAATTCGTTAACAATAAAATAAAATCGACATTTTATATATAAAATTGGGGTACGTTCACATACGAATAACATATTGACCTTATTGCATCCAATATTTGACATAAGCTTCTTCTCATATGTGATACGCCAGGGGCAACTTGAGCAAGAATGGCATTTTTATGATTCTATTGTTAAAATTGACCGCTCTCTTCAAAAATATCCAAAATTGTTAAAATTTTATGATTTTCTCATTTGACTGGGTTCTTTCGTCTTTAAAATACAGGTACACACATGTATAAGTAATAAACTGTATGTTTCTGTCAATACATTGATTAAAGATGTCAATTTCAATTTGATCACCCAAGGCTTTTGCACATAGGTTTGAAGTTGGCATAATTCGCACAATGTATTGATTTCAATAACAAGACAACCCGGTCAAAGTGTTTATAATCCTTTAAAGCAGCACGCCTCCAGATTCATTCTAATTTTCATGAAAATTTTGAAAATGTATTTAAAAGTAAAATATTGTGAAGTAAACAAAGAAAGTAATTCACACATTGCAAACAACTCACAATCCATGTAAATAACCAAAAATGGGACAAAATATGCAAAAATAAATCTTACTGCCTTAGTAACGCAGTAGAAATATGGCGATAAATAATGCAAAATCAGACAATAATCGCACATAAGATATAAATTGTAACTTGAATTTTAAATCGTTTTACTTTTCTTACAATTTAGTACGTTTTACCCAAGTTTGATTTTCTTGAAATATTTTGGCTCATCTGGAGGCTTGCAGCTTTAAAGCTGCATGCCTCCAGATGACCCAAAATTTTTAAAGAAAATTAAACTTGGAAAAACCACACTAAAACTTTGAAAAAGTAAACAAATTAAAGATTCGCGGGATAATTTATATCTTATATGCAATTCATGACTGTATTTTATAGTATTTATCACCATATTTCTACTGCGTTACTAACGCAGTAGGGGCTAATTATGCATATTTTGACCTCTTTTTGGTAATTTACGTGGATTTTAAGTGCCGATTGTAATGTGTCAAGTACTTTCTTTGTTGATTTCACAATATTTTAACTTTAAATACATCTTCAAAATTTTCATGAAAATTAGGATGAATCTGGAGGTGTGCTGCTTTTACGAAAGTAAAACTTTTAAACTATTGTGATTCCTCTAAAGGAAACTATTTTGTTTTATTGGAAATCATGCGAATGCAAACACAATCTGATTAAGATCGGCTCCTAATTAATTAACAGAACAGAACAGAAAATTTATTTGTCTAACTTGAACATTTACAGTTCATCGTTACATACATACATACATTTATTTACATACATGAAGTAATGTGACATTTTATATAACATATTAATAGATTATTATATACTACGCATTAGGATCTGACGGGCACCAATATGAAGTCACCCTCTAGTGACCTTTCAAACAGCCAATCATCGGTGATTTTTCATAATTTAAACCGGTTTCTGTTTCAATGCTAAGTAGGGAATTTTCACGATTTCGTGTCCATATAACCGGTAGGTAAATTGGCAAACAATCTTGCCTAGGGTTTAAAAATCGTTATTTACAAAATTCTTCTAACAATAATCAACAATTTGTTTTACTTCAACGGACATCGATATTTTGATACTTCGTCTTATGCCTATCTAATAAGGACGCTAAAATCATCCTCGTTAACCCAGGCTATTTACCCAATATCGGTATAATATTAAATGTAGTATAGCTGACAGGTTATATATCGGTATAATATTAAATGTAGTATAGCTGACAGGTTATATATCGGTATAATATGAAATGTAGTATAGCAAATATATTGACGTGCCAAAGCTTCATTCTGAGATATTTTTGTTCTGGGGCAGAATCAAAACCAAAAGGAGACCTTTCTGTGGTGAAACGTGGATTTCGGTGTAAATGTAAAAATGCAGCGAATTAAAACTAAGAATTTATTCAACAATATAATTATAAGGCAATATCGACACAAAAAGTGCTCTACCGAGTTTGAAGAAAGTAAACCACGTTAGTTTCATTTCACCGTCTCATTTTGTGTACCAACGCCGCCATATTTTAATGCTGCTACAGTAATTAACATGTACGCTAAAAATCGTTATTATATGATCTAAATATAGCTGCAATCTCATTGGTCCAAACAGTAGTCAACAGAACTTTTTATAAACTCATTTTCACTGGGAGTAGTATCATATTCACTGGCTGAATTGGATTTTCCCAATAGATTGAGACTCATATTCAATAATCATACACCGTAGACTATTAATTACACGTGTTAATTGTCGCTTTTTGTTCTTTATGGCATATTTCTCGATTAAAATATCATTATTTTACTACTATACTTAAAGGCTACAGTATAAACTTGAATTATTTTTGTGCGTAATGGTCGCTGCACGCCTAACACGTGCGTCCTTTTTCCCGCGCTTCAACGAGGTAAAATTTGTACATGTATATAAGGTTGTACATTTGTGATTTTTTTTGTATAGGATATCGACCGAGTACGAGATCTTTCTGTTTAGGAAAGACCAGGTCACGAATTTCATGTGACACCGAGAGCGCGTAACGCTCGAGGTGTTTCTTGAAATTCGTGACAAGGTCTTTCTTAAACAGAAAGATCGATGTACGATGCCGATATCCAACTTACACACCGTAAAACTATATTTGCTTAAGCAATGGCTGATCAGAAGCATTTGATATAATGCACAAATATTACTTTTAACACAACGAATATACAGGTAAGCTTTTATCAACGTTCTGCTTAAATACAATATATATTTTGCTTTTAAATTTACTTTTCCCTTAAAAATAATCAAAAAGCTAAATGTGCAATTTGTCAATAATAAAGTGAATAGATCTGTAATAGAAGGTATGTTAAAGAATGAATAATTATGTTGATAGTATTTCGTATCAGACAATGCAGATTCTAGGGCATTTGCTCCCTGGATAGTTGCCCCCTCCCCCCTTTTTTTGCTGTTGTAACTTGTCACTTGTCATCTCGTGTATAGATTTCTTGTATGCCAATGGAAATATTATAGTACATTTATTTATGGATGCTATTTTGACTTTCTAAAATTTGCGTGAGAATTTTTGTGTATTTAAGCACAATGAAATTTCGACAATAGGCGATGAATTTTTGGTAGCAAACAACTAAACAATAAAATATTCTAACATTTTTAAACAGGGAGGGGGGGGGGGGGGGGGGCAAATGTCTGCCCCTTCCAATGATATGAGGGGCAAATGTCCACCACTGCAAAAAGGGGCAAGCTTCCGAGGAGGCAACTGTCCTAAGGGCAATGTCCGAATACCCACTGCAGACCACGAAATACTTACATAATTTTTATGTATATTGTTTGCAAGTGTGAGATACATGAACCGAAACTATATTTTATACAGAAGATTATAAAGTGTTTTAGAATAAAATATGATCGTTCATCATAATTTTTTTATACTAAATCACTTTATTAACATTTTAAAATCGTAATAGTTATACTGTGATTACTGCTATATAATTTCATTGATATGAACTTGAAGCGTCCATATTGTTATATTGTGAACTTAATGACAAAAGAATCACTTAGATTACTATTACTTTGAAAAATGACGCGATTAAATAAATGATAAATGTGTCCTTACTTTGATATGCTGTACGTTATTTTTTTATTCAAATATTTAATATAGGGATGCTGGAATAATTGCTTAGTGCTTTTAATAAATATTATCATTTGTTTTAAAAATGTATCCCGATTTTGTAGGACAGGAACATTATGACAATCATTTGCATTTCATTTCAATTTTAATTTTTGATTGCATTTCATGTTATCTTTGTCTGTGCATTGGCAGGTCTATTTTTTCACGTGTATTTCATGACCGGGTCTGTCTGACTAGAACAGACCTGTGTACGTGCAAAAGATAGACCTCATAACGGACATTCTTTTGTTTAAACAGGTCTATCCGATTTTCAATTGCTCACTTGTCAATAATTGTATAATATTGCTCGGTCCAATCCCGTACTGAACGTAAATAGAATATTAGAATTGTGGTGAATGTGGTCAAATATTTGTTTTCCGTGGCAATAAGAATAAAAACATGAAAAAGTATTAAACATTGTTTATTGTTCTTGAATTATATTTCTTGCTACATTTAAGAAAAACGCGGAAAAACTTAAAGCTTATCATGGATTTTTTGTTGATAAACATATTTTTTACTGGATATACAAATATACTGTACTTGATTGAAATTTATATTGTTAGCACCCTTTCTATAATTTATATGTTATGTTGTTCACAACTTGCTGCGTATTAAAAATTTCCTTTGATTCATGCGTTAATGGCCTAGATTATGATAATAATACCCCAGATATTTCGTTGGGACGGGCCTCTTCCGATAAAATATGTAACTCGCGCGGTACACAAATGCTCGAATTTTGCAAAGCAACCTCATTACGTATTGCTCACGGTAGAATCGGTAACGATTATAATATTGGCGAGTTTACATACTATAAGAGAAATACGTGCACTACTATTGACTATCTCGTTCTATCTGCACGAGATTTTCCACTGATTGATTCGTTCACTGTCTTACCTTTTAATCTGTATAGCGATCACGCGCCGATAACGTTCTCACTAAAAGTAAACAGTAATCAAACCGAGCAAAACTGTGATATCAATTTTGAAACAACGGTACACTATAAGTGGAATGCTGCGCATAAATCTGCATTTAGAAATGATGTTATCGCTAAGCTACCGCAATTTAATGAAATTTTGTCTAAAATAAACACTGATAATATTACTAATGATAATATTGATCAAATGGTTGATTCTTTTTCTGCGCTTATTCAAAATACTGCTGATCCATATTTTAAACATTATTCGAATTGTAATGTTTATAGCAATTGTAACAAAG